GCATGGGACACGCACCGTGGGCTGGAGGTCCCCAGCCCTGTCCCTTGAAGCCGTCTCTCTCCCTGCCACCCCGGGGTTCCTGTGCCCCTCCCCCTGGGTAGGCACCCAGCTTGGCGCCAGAACGCGGGCAGGGCTGGGCTTCCTGTATTGTTCCGTTCCCACTGTCAAGTTCTGCTTGTTCCCTGAACACTCCATGCTCCACCACACCACGGAGCCGCTGCCTGCGCTGGGCTCTCGCCTGGGGCTCTCTAGCCTTCTCTCTCTCTCTCTCTCTCTCTCTCTCGCTCTAGCTCTCTTTCTCCCCACCCCCAGCACACTCCTATTTAATTTTAAAAGATTTATTTATTTTATTTAAAGGCAGAGTGACAGAGAGAGGGGAGAGACAGAGAGAGATCTTCCATGTGCTGGTTCACTCCCTGCATGGCTGCAATGGCTGGTGCTGGGTCAGGCTGAAGCCAGGAGCCAGGAACTCCATCCGGGTCTCCCATGTGAGTGCAGGGCCCAAGCACTTGGGCCATCTGCTGCTGCTTTCCCAAGTGCATTAGCAGGGAGCAGGATCGGAAGTGGAGCAGCTGGGACTTGAACCGGCGCCCATACGGGATGGTGGGCTTAGCCCACAGCACCACGACGCCAAGCCTACCCAGCATGTTTCTTAAGCTCCTACTGTGTGTTCTCCTGCCCTTGGGATGCGTTACTGTTGATTCAGCTCAACACGGATGCTCGCTGGGACAGCTCAGAAGCAGCCAGGGCACAGCTTGGGCCTGCGAGTCGCTGAGGGCTGAATGTGAGGTGAACATTTCCTTTGGAAAGAGCGGCTCGGACTTGAGAAAACACGCTCGGCTCGGAAGGCTGGGGCGAGCGCACTGATCCTCAGCAGACCCAGCTGGGTGGGGCGGGTGGTGACAACAGTTCCACCTGCTTCTCCCACGTTAACCAAAATACACCTGCTACAAAACGCGGACCTATGGCGCTCCTGCTCCCACAGGAGGTGGGCAGCCTCGTGGGCCCCACAGGGACCACTGCAGGTCCCTCCCCGCTGCCCAGTGGAGAGAGGTCCCTGAGGGGCAGCTCAGTTCCAAGCCCGTCTGGCCCCTTCCTTTAGCGTGTGGTTAAGACTGGGGTCCCGGGAGTCGCCCCACATATACAGTGCCTCTCTGGGCCTCGGCGATCTCACCTGTAAGGTGGGGATCTCAGCACTGGCTGTCACGGGGGTGTCAGGAGGGGGGTCACACGAGCCCCCCCACACCAAGCCCTCAGAATGGGTGAAGGCTCAGGAAGGTCTTCGCCCAGGCCCTGCCCTCTCCAGCACTGGGGTCACGGACCCAGGAGTGGTCAGGGGACTTGGAGGAGGAGGAGGAGGAGGAAGCCAAAAGAAAAACAGCCCAGAATACGTGCTGAGTCAGCTGAGGCCTCGGGCCTGGCCTCCCCCAGCCGGCTGGCACTGACTCAGCAGCCCAGAACACGCCTGCCTGCCAGGCGGGTCCCAGAGTGGGCAGCAGGGGCAGGATTCGAACTCAGAACGGCCTTGAGGTCCCGGGAAAGCCCTGATCCTGGGGCCCTGGGCCCCCCGCCAGTCCCGGGGCGCAGCAGGCCCTCTCCGCAGGCTGCCCGCAGGGCCACCCTCTGTTCATTTGCTTACTGCAGCAGCTCTGGGACTGGCTGCCCCGCCACGGCTGTAAAATCATTGGAGCGGTTCGGGCTGGTGGGGGGAGGGGCTGGGTTGTAAAAGCACCGCCACCACCAGCGAGATCGGGGTTCAGCCATGGCTGCCCCCAGGTCCAAAAGCCAGGGAGGCTTCTCCGGCCTCGAAATGCAGGGAAGTGCAGTGGGGCCAAGGGCTCCTTCCTGGAATTCCCACCCAAGGCGTGAGTGAGGCAGGTTCCCCGGGGTTCAGATCCTGGCTACACCCTGCTTGGCAGCTGTGTGACCCTGGGCACGTCACTGAACCTCTCTGAGCCTTGGATTTTAAGATTACAGGGGAATCCCTGGGGGATTACAGGCGCTCCCAGGGCTTGGTGTGAGACGCTGAAAGCAGTCTGTGTGGCGGGCGCCTCCCCACTCCCCACCTCACTGACCTCGCATGGTCTGATGTCCCCACTTAACACTTTATTTCATGCTTGTTGTCTTTTCCACGCCATTGCATATGTGCAAGGCTACATGGACCGCACATCAACCTGGTAAGGCATGTCGGCTACGAACCTCACCTTCTGGAACATTCTGAGCCCAGCATCCCCCCAGAGCCTCCGGCTCCTCCCTGCCCATCCACTTCCTCCCCAGCTCAACCCCGGTCAGTCCCCTTTGCTTGTTTAAAGGTCGTTTCTATGACGGAGGCCTGTGTTCCAAGACAAGCTACGGGGCCATGGTAATGCATGGGCGGGGGCGGAGGGAGGAATGGCATCGAAAGATGTTTACTTCAACGCAAAGAATTTTTGAGACCTGCCAGAAGCCATCTCTTGATCTGCAGTCCCCACGGACGCAGGCGTGCGTCTCAAGGTGGTTCTGCACCAAAATCACCTCCTCCTTCCATTCCACGCTCTGCCAACCTGCACAGGGTCAACATGGCTCCTTCCGCAGCCTGGGGAGAGCCACTCGGCCACCCTGGGAGTTTCCAGAGCCTCTGCTACTACTTCCCTTCGAGCCTCGCCCTCCCCACCTGTCACCTCACCCTGCGATGAGAAGGTGGCTTCACCCCTCCATCCTTTTCTTCACGCTTCTGCTCCACTCAGCTCCGATCCTCACTCCGTGCTGAGCTGAAGTCTGACTCTGGCCCCAAGGCCTGGGGTGGGCGTGTCCCTACCCAGTCCTCTACTCCTGACCACGCGCCCTGAGCTGTCCACGTCAGATCGCGCACTCTGAGGAGTTTGGCAAGTGGAGGAGAGACGGCAGAGGTCACGGCGTGCAAAGGCCGGACCGGGGACAGTTGAGGCCAGAGTGGGCGTTGGGGCACCAGGTGGGGGTCACAGAGAGGAAGGTGGGGCCCAGGAATCAGAGGAGGGAGCACCACCTTGAAGCCACCCTGGATGTCAGATCCCTGCTGGGGCCACAGCCAGCTGGAAGCGAGGACATAAGGGTGTGGGGGGCAGAGGAGGGAGAGGAGGGGGCCTCAGCCCCCAGCCCCACCCCTGCACTCCAAGCCAGAGCAGTTCCTTGTGGATCACTCTGCTGTGGGAGTTCAGATTTCTCTCAGACAAAGGAAGTCTTAAGGTTTGGGGAACTCCTGTCACAAGTCCTGGGGAGCCACGGAATAAACTTGAGCTGGAGACAGAAAGGCCTGGGGCCAGCGTTGTGGCACAGCGGGTAAAACCGCCACCTGCAGCGCTGGCATCACATATGGGCGCCGGTTCAAGACCCGGCTGCTCCACATCCTATCCAGCTCTCTGCTATGGCCTGAGCAGTAGAAGATGGCCCAAGTCCTTGGGCCCCTGCACCCACGTGGGAGACCTGGAAGAAGCTCCTGGCTTCGGCTCAGCTCCAGCCATTGCAGTCAATTGGGGAGTGAACCATCGGATGGAAGACCTCTCTCTCTCTCTCCCTCTCTCTCTCTCTCTCTGCTCTCCTTCTTTCTCTGTGTAACTCTTTCAAATAAATAAATAAATGTTAAAAAAAAAAATACATAGAAAGGCCCTTGGCGGCAGAAGCCCGCCATGCAAAGGCCCTGGGGTACAGGACAGGGAGGCGTGGCCAGGGAAACAGAGTAGGGCAGAAGGAATGCAAGGGAAGAAGGAGATTGGCTTGGGGGCGGGGAATGGGTGAGGCCAGAACCCCAGGGGGCCTGGACGCTAGGGAGGGAGGACTGGAGGCAGAGGCGGTGGCCTGAGCTGTGGCTGTAGGATGTGGGGGTTGGGGCAGGCAGGGCAAGGAGCGTGCCTGGGCTTTGTGACGGGTGGGGGGCACCGCTGAGAGGGGCGGTGGGGCAGGCCTGGCAGCACAGGCTGTGCATGGCTGGGCCTGGGACATCCAGGAGGAAACAGCCATGGGAGGAGGATCGGGGGCTCCCGGGAGCTCACAGGAGTCCCCGTGTCTGGGCTGAGTGGCTGGGCAGGAGCAGAGAGCAGGGGGCTCCCGGTGTCGGGGCTTGGGGGTGAGGACCCCAGCTGTAAGCTGTTTTACCCCTGAGTCCGGGGCCAGAGCACACCCAGTGCAGAGCGCTGAGCAAGGCCTCTGGCAGCCCAAGAGGCCCAGAGACGCCTGTAAGCCAGGGTGGGTCACACAGCGATTGGGACTCAACTGCTGCTGCTTCGGCATCCTGAGCTGGAGGAGGGCCCCCACACTGGACGCTGCAGTGGGCCAGCTGGGGTGGGACCAGAGTGGCTGGAGGGCCCCAGGGGCCAGGAGAGCCGTCCCTCCAGAGACCGCCGGACACGGAGAGCGGCAGACCACCTGGGCCCCGGGGAAGGCAGGGCGTGTAATCACGTAAGACCGGGTCCAGACCTGCTTCTATCTGCGGGATCGCGACCGGGTCACTGTCCCCCTTAGCCTCGGCCTCCCCCTCTGAAAAGTGGGTGCCACTGGAGCCCGCCGAGGACTCCCGGATGGTCAGAGTGACGCCAACGCCATGCCCCAGCCACACCTGCCAGGGCCACCCTACTGGCAGCCGCCAAGCTCGGCCCTGCCCACCTCAGCTCTCCCGGCCTCCCCCCATGGAGGTAGCGCATCCTGAGCCCCCAGGAGGGAACACAGCCCCCATTCTCTGAGGGCCCTCCTGGGGTGTCCTGGGACGAGACTGGTGTACAACAGGCCCCTCGGCTTCCTGCACAGCTACTACGCACCGACGTGGAGGCCTCCATCAGGGAGACCCCGGGAGACCCCTCTGGCAGACGAGACAGCTGCGGCTCAGCACAGCCAGCCCATCCCCTCTGAGGGTCCCACACCCCAGCGAGGCCGGGAAGCACAGGTCAGTCCGGCCCCAGCCCCGGGGCAGGCCTGAGGCTGCAGGAGGCCTTGGCTAGCGGCCGGCCTCTCCCCACCAGCCTCCTCCTCCGGGGGGTCTCACGGCTCACCTGATTTCTGTAATGTCGTCCCTGTGGCCGCCCCACAGGTCCTGGGCCGGGAGGTCGCAGGGCTCGTCCATGGCAGGTGAGCAAGGGTGGGGAGGGGAGGACGAGCAGGGACCAGGTGTGCGCGGTGTAGCGTCTGCTGCCCGCCCCGGGGAGCCCGCCAGGTGCCTACCTGCGGCCCGGCCCACGGGGAGGGGCAGCACCCAGCCGGTTCTCCCAGCTGCTACCCACGCCTCCAACGATGGCGGGGAGAGGCCGCCAGTGAGCCACCCTTCTCCGAGGGAGGGGAGGAGCCGTGATGGGCACGTCCCGGGCGTCTCGTGCCTGGCTGGGGACAGAGTCCAGGGGGTCAGAGCCAAGCCCACACAGGAACCATCTGGGCGGCTGTGTGCCCACCAGGGGCCTCTGGCTGCTCATCTTGCAGAGGGGGGGCTCCCACCCATCTTGGGAGTCTGTTCATTCATGCATGCATTCATTCATTCCGGAAATATTTATGGAGCACCTGCCGTCGGCCAGGCACTGCTCGGGGTACAGGGAACTGCCAGACGGCGCCTCCGCCCTCGTGGGCTGGCACAGCAAGGGGCACGATTAGGAACAGAGACAGACACAGCCAGGACCCACGCAGCTCCAGCACAGGTGCAGCCGGAAGAGGGACGTGAGAGAAGGGGTCAGAGGCACAGAGAACCCAAGAGGACAGAGACCGTGAGAGACACGGAAAGCCAAGAGGAGACCACGGGCGAGACAGACCGCAGAGAAGGTCGGAGACAGGGAGGGACCCGCGGAGAGCTGGCCGTGGGGGTCTGAAGTCGCAGCGCGAACCCCAGCTCCAGCACCTCCCGTCCACCCCGCCCTGGCTCGGTCTCCCCCACTGTGAATGGTGCCGCCTCACCCGGCCATCGTGGGGCTGTGCGAGGCGTTCTCGGGCGCCTGTTGGAGTTTGTGGCACAAGCGGGCTCAGCGATGTCGGAGCTCCGATTCCCCTGAGCCTCGCGCTCCCACTGGTGGCCTTGGACCCCTCAGACCCCTCCGAGTCCTGGAGGCTGGCCAGGAAGCCCCCGGCTTCCCACCGGGGTGAGGAGAGAACACAGACCTTGTGTGGCAAGATGGCCACGACTTCTGAGCAGCCAAGGTCTGGAAGGGACATTAAGGTCCCTGTGGCCCCGCCGCCACGCCCCTTACGCACGGGCATTTCTCATGAAAACTTGCTAGAACTTTCTCCTCGCTTCCCTGGAATGTGCCAGAAAAGTTTTGGTCAGATGAAAAGACTCAAAGATACTATCACTTACAATCGTGTTTACTGACCAATTGCATGGGGGGGGGGGGGCGGGTGACATCAGCTGCAGAAAGGCGCCCAGAGGGGTTCCTAACTTGCCTAAGAGCACACAGCACTGCCCACCCTCACTGAGCAGAAGACGAGCACCCCGGTGCCCCGTGCCCTGGCCCCCCTGCCCTGGCCAGGCCTGGCTCACACTCTGCTCCCCACCCCGGTCAGCCCCTATGCTCCGGGCTGTGCCAAGGACTCCCTCACAGAGAGGGTGGGGGCTGAGCCGAGACACCCACCCGGCCCTCGGGCCAGGCCGCCTCTGCCTCTGGGTTGTCTTCAACCTTTCTTTGTTCCGGGCTCTCAGGAGGTGACAACCCTGCCCTGTCCCTCCCGTGGGAACTGCCCCTCAGCCCACACACCAGCACCCGGGCAGAAGGGCGCCACCAGGGAGACACTGGGAGAAGGGCACGCTCAGGCCCTTAAAGGGACAGGGAGGCCCTTAAAGGAAGCAGGAGGACTCAGGGGATTGAACGGAGGGTGTTGAATGGACAGGGTGCCCAGGACCATTCCTCCCTGGGTAGTGGCAAGAAAATGGGCAAGCCAGGAGGCCCTGAGACCCAGGGCAGTGCTCCCACCCCAGGGCCCTGGCACGTGCTGTTCCCCCAAAGCTGCGCAGCCTCGCTTCCTGCGAGTTTACCCCGTGGTCCTCCTCCGAGCCCTCCCACCATGCCTGTCCTTTCCCGCGTGCTCACCGCCACGTTTTGCTCCTTTGACTTGCTCATTGCCTGTCTCACTAGGGGACCACCAACCCCAAGGGGCAGGGCTGTGGGCTGCTGCATCCCCAGGGAAGTGCCTGGGGAATCAGAGGTGCTCAAAATGTGCCTGCTGAGGGGGTGGGTGAGGCTTCCCGGGGAGAGGGGGCGTGAGTGACAGGTCACGGGGTGCACAGGTAGGCTGTTGGCTCTGGGTAATGGGAGCTGAGGAGTCACATGGCTGGATGCCAGGGGCCAGGGGGCCAGCCTCCTGCAGGAGTGGCGAGGAGGAACTAGAAGAGACTAGCAAAATATCTCAGCCCATTACGGGAGGGTAGGGGCTTGACAGAGACCACCAGGTCCACAGAATCTTGACATCCAAGGACAAGGAAGAGACTGCGTGGGTAGAGGGCGTGGGGAAAAAGCAAGTGGGAAGTCCAGTACCAGCGCATACTCACTCCTCCCTCTAGCTGTCCATCCCCCGTCCATGTCCATCCATCCATCTGTCCATCCGTCCAGTTAATATCCAGAGAGGTTTAGAGCCATGCTGTTCCACATAGGAGCCACCTGCCATAGGTGGTTACCTAGCACTGGAAATGTGGCACATGTGGCCAAGCAGGTGACATTTTAAATTTTTATTTCATTTCAGTTAGAATTTAACTTTGAAAACCAAAACCATATGAAGGCTTTTTTTCCTATTGAACTGCTGGAAGCTGAACACTGAAATTGTGACCCAAAGCTGATAAAACCTCTCACAAGTCACCTTTATATTGATTCCTCGCTGAAATCATATTTGGATAGATTTGATGAGATATATGCCTAAAAATTTCACTGGTTTAACTTTTTTTTTTTTTTCAAGATTTAGTTGTTTAAAAGGCAGAGTGACAGAGAGGAGGAGACAGACACGCAAGAGGGGACTTCCATCTGCTGGTTCACTCCCCAGATGGCTGCAGCAACCAGGGCTGGGTCAGGCTGAAGCCAGGAGCCACGAGGTCCATCCAGGGCTCCATGTGTGTGTGTGGGGCGGGGGGCAGCACTTGCGTCATTACCTGCTGCCTCCCGGACACATCAGCAGAGAGCTGGATTGGAAGTGAAGCAGCCAGGATTTGAACCAGGGCTTGCATGTGGGATGTCAGCGTTGCAGGTGGCAGCTTAACTCACTGTGCCACAATGCTGGCCTCCGCTTTGTACGTCTCTAAAAAATGTGGCGACCAGAAGGTTTGAAAGGTTTGTGTGGCTCTGCCCACTCCGTATTGACTCCACAGGCTTTGGGAAGTCCCTGGGATGCGAGGCAGGGCTGGGGAAGGTAGAGGAAGCGAGGAGAGATGTTCTCAGGAGGTGAAGGAGCCTGCGGCCTGTGTGGAAAAGGCACAGGGGGTGGGCCTGGCAGGGTCAGGGCGAGGCAACACAGATGCTTCCTCCCAGCCAGGACAGGGACCTGGGCGATGGGCAGGTGACTGTGGGGCATCTGGGGACACTCACTCCCATCCCTAAAGGCAGCAGGAGGGGTCGGTGCAGTGGCGTAGTGGGCTAAGCCTCCACCTGCAGTGCTGGCATTCCATATGGGCGCTGGTTCAAGTCCTGGCTGCTACACTTCCAACTCCAGCTCTCTGCTATGGCCTGGGAAAGCAGTAGAAGATGGCTCAAGTGCTTGGGCCCCTGTACCCATGTGGGAGGCATGGAAGAAGCTGCTGGCTCCCGGCTTAGGATCTGGCTGTCACAGCTACCTATGAGTGAACCAGCGGATGGAAGACCTTTCTCTCTGTCTCTCCCTCTCTCTGTCTGTAACTCTACCTGTCAAATAAGTAAACTTTAAAAAAAAAATCTAAAAAAATAAATAAAAAAGGCAGCAGGAAGCAGGGCAGGTGGGGTGGGCTGGGCCAGTCAGCACTTGCTCTCCACCCCCATAAACCTCCAGGAAGGTGGACCTGGGGCTTGTGTCACCTGCACGTCACCTTCACGTGCCATGACCGCGAGGAGGGCGCCTCCTGCCCCAGACCTCGGAGCTGATTGTGCAAGGGGAGCAGGGAGTGGCTCCCAGCCTGGGCCGCCTGGGACAGCAGGGCCGCGGAGCTGTGCCCCCGGTGCTCATGTCAATCCCCCAGCCTCTCCCTGGCGGCCCCATCTGCCCCCTGCCCCCCACCCCCCGGCCCTTGTGCGTCTCAGCTCTTAGAACTCAGCTGTGGGCTCAGGGAGGTCACTGGGTCATGAGGTCGCTGTTCACACAGAACCAGGCCACTGTCACCTCTACAGCCCGACCTTGCCTCTGAAAGCTGGTAACTGCCAGCCATGCGTTCCGGGAGAGCTGAGCAGACAGCAGCTCTGGCTGGCCCCTGGGGGGCAGCAGGCAGGGGCCCAGATCCCAAGTCAGGAAGGAAGCAACAACCAGGCAGGGAGGCTGCGTGGGTTGGGGAGGAGGTAGGCCTGGACCCCTGGGTCTGAGAGAGGAGGGCAGGGGGCCTGGACCCCTGGGTCTGAGAGAGGAGGGCAGGGGGCCTGGACCCCTGGGTCTGAGGGAGGAGGGCAGGGGCTGGACTCCTGGGTCTGAGGGAGGAGGGCTAGGCTGGACCCCTGGGTCTGAGGGAGGAGGGCTGGGGCTGGATTCCTGGGTCTGAGGGAGGAGGGACTGGGCTGGACTCCTGGGTCTGAGGGAGGAGGGCTGGGCCTGGACCCCTGGGTCTGAGGGAGGAGGGCTGGGCCTGGACCCCTGGGTCTGAGAGAGGAGGACTGGGGCTGGACTCCTGGGTCTGAGGGAGGAGGACTGGGGCTGGACTCCTGGGTCTGAGGGAGGAGGGCTGGGGCTGTACTCCTGGGTCTGAGGGAGGAGGACTGGGGCTGGACTCCTGGGTCTGAGGGAGGAGGGCTGGGGCTGGACCCCTGGGTCTGAGGGAGGAGGGGCTGGTGCTGAGCATCTGGGTCTGAGGGAGGAGGGCTGGGGCTGGACTCCTGGGGCTGAGGGAGGAGGGCTGGGCCTGGACCCCTGGGTCTGAGGGAGGAGGGCTGGGCCTGGACCCCTGGGTCTGAGGGAGGAGGGCTGGGCTGGACTCCTGGGGCTGAGGGAGGAGGGGCTGGGGCTGGACCCCTGGGGCTGAGGGAGGAGGGGCTGGGGCTGGACTCCTGGGTCTGAGGGAGGAGGGGCTGGGGCTGGACCCCTGGGTCTGAGGGAGGAGGACTGGGGCTGGACTCCTGGGGCTGAGGGAGGAGGGGCTGGTGCTGAGCATCTGGGTCTGAGGGAGGAGGGCTGGGGCTGGACTCCTGGGGCTGAGGGAGGAAGGGCTGGGACTGGACCCCTGGGTCTGAGGGAGGAGGGCTGGGGCTGGACTCCTGGGTCTGAGGGAGGAGGGCAGGGCCTGAACTCCTGAGACTCGGCTGAAAACTGAGCACCGAGACACCTGTCCCGGCCAGAAAGCTGCGAGCTGTGAGGGATGCTGGGTCCCCAGAGTTCTTTTAGGACAGGAAGGTGGGGGCCCGGCCCCACCCCCCCAATCAGTGGGTCCATCTGGGGTGTGCAGCGTTGTAGAAACCTCCTCCATGCTCCCCGCCCTGATTGCTCCATCCCACAGAGGAGCCTGCCCCAGGCCCGATACCATGGGCCTTGGCCCCACCCCACACACTCCCGGCCTGGGGCCGGGCTAGAGGCCCGTGGGGGCGGCTGCACACCCCAGCTACTCTCAGGGAGGGCCAGCCAGCAACCCTGGGGCACTTGGTCAGGGTGAGGGGGCATCTTGTGACCTCACCAGGCGCCTGGTCACACAGGAGAAGGAGAAGTGACCCCAAGGGGTTAAGACCAGGAGTGAGGAGTGTGAGGGAGCCACGGGGGGCTGAGGATCAGGAAGGCTGGCCAGACCCAGCGACCTGAGGTTCCTAGTGCTGCGTGTGGTGTCCACAGCGACCGACAGGTGGACAAAGGCACCGCCCCACCCCCGCATCTCGGGCCTCCCAGTGCCATCCTCACTGGTCCCTGGCACTCTCCTCTGCCAAGTGCTGGGACCAGCCAAACCCGCTGTGCCAGTCGGGCATCCCCACGCACCCCCCCATCCTCTCGCCTCCCTGCAGTGGCTCCAGGGAGGCCTGGCCCAGCCCGAGGGCGAGGGCGGCGAGCAGGTGGGTGGGAGAACAGGACGCCCCAATCCTGCAGCTGCTCCGCCCCTCCCTCTGGTCCTGCTCATTCCTGCCCTTCCCAGGCTCTCCTGGCCTGGGCTGGGGCCCTGCTCCTCTCCTCTAGGGGCCCATACTTCCTCTTGGCTCTGAGTCCCCAAAAACCTGCCCCACCACGCGCACCTGCTGGGCCTGCCCGTGGCTCCCATTCATTCAGATTCATTCATCTGACAGCTCCGAGGGGGCGGAGCCAAGCGCAGGCTCCTGCCAGGAATCCAGGAGAGCAGAGAAGGACAGCGTCACCGTGGGGGGCCTCACCACACCCCTCCCCCCACAGCTGGCTGCACAGGGGACTCTGCTGAGGTGGCCGGGTCCAGAGGTGACCCTGACCATCCTCTCCAGGTAGGGCCTGTGCTCCACAGCTGGCTCTGCAGCTGGAGGGAGGGGCCGAGACCCAAAGGCTATCGGCGGTCTTCACGCGGCGGCTGAGGCCCAGGAACATTCTCCCCTGGGCGCCCAGAAGAACACACAGCCCTGCCCGTGCCTGCCCTGTGAGGGGAGCCCCTGTTATCTTTGATTGATCTATTTTGATTGAAAGGCAGAGATACAGAGAGAGAGAGAGAGATCTTCCATCCGCTGGCTCACTCGCCAAATGACTGCAACCGCCAGGGCTCGGCCAGGCCGAAGCCGGGAGCCAAGAGCTCCATCCAGGTCTCCCACATGGGTGTAGGAGCCCAGGCACTTGGGCCGTCTTCCGCTGCTTTTTCCAGGGCATCAGCAGGGAGCTGGATTGGAAGAGCAGCAGCTGGGACTCGAACCGGTGCCCATGTGGAATGGTGGCGTCTCAGATGGCAGCTTAACCCGTTGCAGGGCAGCGCTGGCCCCTGGAGCCCCTTTTAGAAACGTTTGGTGCAGACTTCAGACCGCCACTGCTGAGGCGATGAATGAGGCAAATGGCACGGCCAGAGGGGGAAACAGGCAGCGGAGGGGGACACCAAGCATTGTGCAAAATGGCCGGGGGTGGGGCTTTGTGCCCTCTTCTCAAATGGAATTGTGGGAATATCAGCCTTTCTCTCACGGCCCTGGTGATGACAGCTGCCACTCGAGGCAGCCTTCCCGGCACCCGAAGCTGAGCAGGGGAGACAGGGCAAGGAGATTGAGGAGGGAAAGGTAGGCTGAGTTTCCATCACAGCCTCAGGTCCGAACGCTCCTTCGAAGGCGGTGAGAGCTGGAAGGAACATTCTAGAGAGTGGGTCAGTGTGGGCAGAGCCCGGGGCGGGGGGGGAGGAATGACGTCCAGCTGCCTTGCTGCCTGGCCTCGTTCAGGTCACCTCCTCTGAGAGGCCTGCCCTGATTGCTCACCCAGGACAGTCCCTGGTTCACATCCCAGCCTGTTCTCCCGCCCGGCCCTTCCCTTCCCAAACCCAACCCCAGTTTCCCTCTGAGACTCTCTGGGCGGAGGGAAACTGACACGCCTAGCCTGCCGATGCCGGCCTGGTGACACAGCCAGGCCACCCGTGTCCACACACTCCCGGTTCTGTCTTTGCCCAGCGCTCCCACCACGTGTGCTGGGGGCCCCGGGACCTGCACTGCTGCTCCCCAAGCCCTCCTCGCGACTTTTATGAGCTCATCCCCATTTCACAGACAGGGAACACATGTCACAGTCGGTAGAATTTGGCCCATGCTTGGGGAAAGCCTGTCCCAGCTCCTGGGGACTGCTTGATGAGCAGCAGCCGTGTCAGCCGCCCCGCCCAGGGCTGCCCAGCACGGAGAAGCCCGGCCCCAGACGGAGGGCAGCGGGCGCTCCAACGGTCAGCGGGTGGCTGGCTGCCTCTGCCATCGGGTTGGCATCTGAGAAGAGGCCCTGTGTCCACTCCGCTCCCCACCAGGGACCCCTCTGACCAAATGGGACTGACCCCCAACCTCCCCTAGGCTCACCTGGGAAGGACCGGAGCACTCTGGGTAGTCTCGGCTTCAGGAGGGGGGTGCCACTGGCACCTGGTGGGCCGAGGCCCAGGTGCCACCCTGCACAGGGCGGCCCCCGCCATGCCACCGGGAATCTCCCGACCCCGGGCACTAGCAACGCCGGGGCTGAGATGTAGACCCCGACTTCAGTGTGCCGGAAACAGGGGCGGGATGCCCCGCGGGACGTTCCCAGGAAAGAGACACACGCAGAAGCGGGACAAGCCACACAGGACAACGCCCCGGGCGTTCCAGCTCCTCAGATCCGGAGCAAGGAAGAGAACACACGGCAGGCTCTGCTCAGCTTCACCCCCTTGGTTCCAAGGCTGAACGCTTAAGCAGCCTCACGCGTGTTTCCAGAGCCCCTCGGCTGCCCGCTGGGGTGGCCGGCATGTAGCAGAGCACGCGGTGGCCAGGATGTGGGGCTGCGTGCAGGGGGCACGAAGGCAAACGGCGCAGGGGAGGGGAGTCGGTTTGTCGGTCCCCTGCCCAGCTCCGCAGACGCCGTGCCCCCGGCAGGCACAGCCAGAGCCTTGGGTGCTTACCCACAGCCGCGCTTATGTTAAAGCACACACTGGGCACCACAGATGCCCACGGGCAGATACACAAATCCGCAAACCGTGGCCCAGACAGACCGAGGGATGCTGCCAGATAGTCCAGAGGCAGAGGCCAGGCGGGCGTTTGGCTCAGTGGCGAGACGCCAGCTCGGGGCACCAGCGTCCCATGTCAGAGGGTCTGGGTCCCCCCTCTGCTTCCTGCTAGTGGGCACCCTGGGGGGCGCAGGGGAGGGGAGTCGGTTTGTCGGTCCCCTGCCCAGCTCCGCAGACGCCGTGCCCCCGGCAGGCACAGCCAGAGCCTTGGGTGCTTACCCACAGCCGCACTTATGTTAAAGCACACACCGGGCACCACAGATGCCCACGGGCAGATACACAAATCCGCAAACCGTGGCCCAGACAGACCGAGGGATGCTGCCAGATAGTCCAGAGGCAGAGGCCGGGCGGGCGTTTGGCTCAGTGGCGAGACGCCGCTCGGGGCACCAGCGTCCCATGTCAGAGGGTCTGGGTCCCCCCTCTGCTTCCTGCTAGTGGGCACCCTGGGGGGCAGCAGTACTTAGCTCAAGTACTTAGCTCCCTGCCTCCACCTGGGAGGCCTGGATGGAGCTCCCAATTCCTGGCTTCAGCCTGGCCCAGCCTTGGCTGCCGCGGACATTTGGAGAGTGAACCAGCAATGGAAGATCTCTCTCATCTCTCTGACCCTGTCTTTCTGCCTTTCAAATATAAAAGATGAATCAAAATTAAAAACGTTAACAATTAAACTTACCGGGGCCGGCGCTGTGGCGCAGCTGGTTAACGCCCTGGCCTGAAGCGCCAGCATCCCATATGGGTGCTGGTTCGAGTCCTGGCTGCTCCACTTCTGATCCAGCTCTCTGCTGTGGCCTGGGAAAGCAGTAGAAGATGTCCCAAGTGCTTGGGCCCCTGCACCCATACCCATGTGAGAGACTTAGAAGATGCTCCTGGCTCCTGGCTTCGGATCGGCGCAGCTCTGGCTGTTGAGGCCAATTGGGGAGTGAACCAGCGGGTGGAAGACCTCTCTCTCTCTGCCTCTCCTCTCTCTGTGTAACTCTTTCCAATAAATAAATAAATCTTTAAAAAAATATTCAACTTACCGATGACCCAGCAGTCACGCCCCTCGGTGTTTACTGGAAAGAAATGAAAACTTTGTTAATTAAAATGTATACATCAACGTGTGCCTCAGCTGTGTTCACCACGGCTGAAGAGCAGAACCCCAGTGTGCACCACGAGGTACATGGATAAACATAGCTTTTGAATATTTTTTAATTTATTTATTGGAGAGGCAGAGTTACAGAGAGAGGGAGAGAGGTCCTCCATCCGCTGGTTCACTCCCCAAAAGGCCTCGACAGCCAGAGCTGGGCCAATCCAAAGCCAGGAGCTTCATCCAGGTCTCCCACGTAGATGGCAGTTGCCCAGGCCCAAGCACTCAAGCCATCTTTGCTTTTCCCAGGCCATTAGCAGGGAGCTGGATCAGAAATGGAGCAGCCAGGACTCAAGCCAGCGTCCACGTGGGAAGTCGGCATTGCAGACGGCAGCTTAAATCCGTATGTCACAGCACCGGTCGCTGGCTAAACACATTTTGGTGAATCCATGTAGGGGAAGCATCTGCAATGCAAAGGAATTAGCTCTTAGACACACAGCGTCCTAGAGAAACAAATCTTAATAAACGCATCATACAAAGTGGAAGAGGCCGGAAGGGTCAGTGTGGTGGCACAGCAGGCGGAGAGGCCAGAGCTGCTGCTGTGGCGCCAGCGTCCAATACTGGGGAGCCAGTTCAAGCCCCACAGAGCTCTGCTTCCAATCCAGCTTCCTGCTAACGCGCCCGGGAGGCAGCAGGGGATGTGCTCAAGTACGTGGGCCCCTGCATCCGCACGGAGACCTGGGTGGAGTTGCTGGCTCCTGACTGGCCAGGCCCAGCTGAGGCTTGCAGCCATTTGGAAAGAACCAGTGCATGAAAGACCTCCCCCCACTCCCTGTCCCTTCCACTGTGTTGCTCTGCCTTTCAAATACACAAGGAAATCTTCTTAAAAAGAAGCTAGATGTGGCCGGCACCACGGCTCACTGGGCTGATCCTCCGCCTGTGGCGCCGGTACCCCGGGTTCTAGTCCCGGTTGGGGCGCTGGGTTCTGTCACGGTTGCTCCTCTTCCAGTCCAGCTCTCTGCTGTGGCCCGGGAGGGCAGTGGAGGATGGCCCAGGTCCTTGGGCCCTGCACCCGCATGGGGGACCAGGAGAAGCACCTGGCTCCTGGCTTCGGATCAGCACAGCGCCAGCCGTAGTGGCCATTTGGGGGGTGAACCAGCGGAAGGAAGACCTTTCTCTCTGTCTCTCTCTCTCTCACTGTCTAACTCTGCCTGTCAAATAAATAAATTTAAAAAGAAACTGGATGGGGCTGGCATTGTGGTGTAGTGGGTAAAGCCACCTCCTCTGATGCCGGCATCCCATATGGGCACTGGTTCAAGTCCCGGCTGTTTTGTTTCCAATTCAGCTCCCTGCTAACAGCTTGGGAAAGCAGCAGAAGATGGCCCAGTGCTTGGGCCCCTGCACCCACGTGGGAGACTCAGATGGAGTTTCTGACTCCTGGCTTCAGCCTGGCCCAACCCCAGCCATTGGGGCCACTTGGGGAGTGAATCAGCAGATTGAAGATGTCCGTGTGTGTCTCTCTGTAATTCTGCCTTTCAAATAAATAAATAAAAAAAATCTTTTTAAAAACCTCATCAGTTCATGTACAAACAGGGTGCATTTTAACTTGTTATACCTCTATCAACCTGAGACAAAAAAAAAAAGAAAGAAAGAAAGAAAGAAAGAAAGAAAGAAAGAAAGAAAGAAAGAAAGAAAGAAAAGAAAAGAAAAATGAGCCTAAGAATTCGCCTTGGTGGGGCTGGTACAGCAGGTAAAGCCGCTGCCTATGCCTCCGACATCCCATTTGGACGCCGCTTTGAGTCCTGGCTGCTCCACTTCCGATCCAGCTCCCTGCTATGACCTGGGAAAGAGGTAGAAGATGCCCAAGTGCTCGGGCCCCTGCACCCGTGTGGGAGACCCGGATGGAGCTCCAGGCTCCTGGATTCTGCTTGGCCCAGCCCTGGCTGTTGTGGCCATTTGGGGAGTGAACCAGCAGGTGGAATATGCACCTCTCTCTGTGACTCGAACCAGCACTCATGGAATGCAGGTGTCACAGATGGTGGCTTTACCCGCTGTGCCAAAATGGGCCCCGGCCATCGCACGTAACTGCCAGCTCTGGAGGACAAAGGCATGCTCCAAAGGCGCCTTTGTCAAACCCGCCACTCCCCATTCTCTGCTCAGCAGACCGGCGGGCCGGGAGTGATGTCAGCAGCCAGGTCACCGGGAGCAAAGCAGCGTGGGCGTCCCAGGGCTGTCAGGAATGGCATCAGCCAGCGGGGAACGCTGCAGCCACAACTTTTTTTTTTATGTTTCTTTTTTTTTTTATTTAATGAACATAAATTTCCAAATTACAGCTTATGGATTACAATAGCTTCCCCCCCCATAACTTCCCTCCCACCCACAACACTCCCCTCTCCCACTCCCTCTCCCCTTCCCTTCACATCAAGTTTAATTTTCAATTATCTTTATATACAGAAGATCAATTTAGCATATATTAAGTAAAGATTTCCACAGTTTGCACCCCCACAGAAACACAAAGTGTAAAATACTATTTGAGTACTAGTTATAGCATTAATTAAACACCTAAGAGTAATTGTGTATTAATTACAGAGTTCAACCAATAGTTTTAAGTAGATCATAAAATGTAACTTTTGTTTTGTTGTGGCTTCCCTCCCCCCCCCCCCCCCCCCGCCAACCTCCCTCCCTCCCATGGCCCTCCCCTCACCCACTCCCTCTCCCATCCTGCCCTTCATCGAGTTTCATTTTCAATTACCTTCATATACTGAAGATCAACTTAGTATATACTAAGCAGGGATTTCAACAGGCTGTACTCACTCAACCGAACCAGGTATAGGGTATTGTTCGACTAGTAGAGTGTTGTTTTTGAGTTTCATAGTTAAACACATTAAGGACAGAGATCCTACGTGGGGAGCATGAACCCAGTGACTCCCGTTGTTGATTTAACAATTGGCACTCTTATTTATGATGTCAGAAATCACCCGAGACTTGCTATGAGCTGTCTAGGCTATGGAAGCCCCTTGAGTTCACGGACTCTGAACTTGTTTAGTCAAGGCCGTATCACAGTGGAGGTTCCTTCCTCCCTTCAGAGAAAGGCGCCTCTCTCCTTGATGGCCTGTTCCTTCTGCTGGGGTCTTGTTCACCAAGATCTTTCATTTAGATTGTTTTTTGCCACCGTGTCATGTGCAGCCACAAAGATAAGTGAGGGTGTCCCAGGGGACGGGGCTGGGGGACCACTCGGTTATTGGAACCCCATGGGATATCCGTCCCCTCTTCCAGGACATCCCCCTGGGGTCCTGCTGCGCCCATCTCATATCTTTGTGAGGTCTCCTCCCTACTGGATCTGGGCTGACCCATGGGACAAAGCCGTGACGGCAGCAGTGACACACGGAACACTGCGGCTAGGTCAGCAGAAGCCTCACGACCTCCACCGCGGTGCCCGGGTTGGGCGCTGGAGGGAGCTGGTCGGGCCACACAGGTGTTTCCATCACACACACATCCGCCGTGCATTTCAACATGTATATATATATAGGCACCAAATAAACTCCTCTTTGAATCTCATTTTTCACGAATTTTTCAAAGATTCCGTAGATTCAGGGAGGCTGGAGTGGCTGGTGGCGGGGGAGACCCGCGGTGCTGGGGCAAAGCCCAGACCGGAAGTGACCCCCGTGGGAAAGTCGGCCCTCCGATCCTGCCTGCCCGAACCACCGGCCTGTCACTGGTGGAGCTGATGCGTGGGCTAAGGTCACGAGCAAGGTCAGGGCTGCTGCCTGGGTGGGCAGAGGCCTGGTGGGAACAAGGCGCCCCCAGAAAACAGCAGGGCAAAGGCCCCGAGGCAGTTTCTTCTTGCACAGAGTACTGGTCCCTGGGGGGGGGGGGCTTTAGCCGTGCCAGCTGGGAGCTGCCGGGGGCTGGGGGCAGCGCAGGGACGTGAGCCGACTACAGGGTGGGGCTGGGGGCAGCGCAGCCAAGAGCCCACCAAGAGGCTGCTGCATCCATCCAAGCAGCCCAGAGGCCGCCAGAGGTGCTCAGATTCCAGGAATATTCCAGAAATGGCGTCAGCTGACGGCTCAGGTGTGGGGGTGTGAGAGAGGAAGGCGCCGGACGGGCACTGAGCCGCTGGGCCCCAGCCGCTGAGCCGGGAGGCCGTGGGTGGGGCGGGAGGACGCTTCCTAACCGAGCCACCCGACCCACGCTGCTCGCGCCTCCAGGCTTTGTGCCCGGTCCCGCCGCCTGGAATGCTCCCGCCCCCGGCCTCACCCCTGCTCCCGGTCACAGAGGTCACCCTGGCCCTGCGCACGGTGGCCGCACAACCTCCGGCCCTTCCCCCTCCCACCGGAGTCCGTCCGCCTGCAGCCCAGCTCCGGCCAGGCGGCAGAACCTGGGGGCGCTTTGATCGCACAGCGCACGCGCGACAGAACCACCTCACGCGTCCCTCCGCCCGCAAACGTGAACCGAGCCTCTGCTGTGCGCCGGACACCGCGGTAGGGGCCAGGGCCCCGGAGGCTCAGCGCCTCGGGTCCTGCTGCAGGCCGGAGGGCTTCACGGAGGAGGTCAGGGGGCGTGGCAAGCGCAGAGCCCAGGGGGACCTGGAAGAGGGTGGCGGGCCACGGCTAAGGGACTGGGGGGTGCGGAAGGCAGGGGCTGAGGCCAGCCTGGGCCCCGGGAGGGCCTGCGTTCCGGTGCTGGGTATTAGACGACGCTTTGACATCCTGGGGCCGAAGGACATCATTTGGCTGCGCTTTCCAGAAGCTTCCTTGTCCCTCGGCTTCTGGGCCCAAGCCATCACCAAGAACTACAGTCTCCCTCCCAGACCTGTCCTGACAGCTCTGTTGACAAGGAATTCCATCCCCCCCTGTGCAGCGGAGGAGCCCGCGCATTCGCCATCTGCGCCAACGCCGCCGCCGCCATCACTGCCCATTTCCCAGCCGTCTCCCAGACCCCTGGAGGGCCTACCCTAGCCCCAGGCCCGGCCGATCGTTCTGTCCCCGTGGACCTACCCGTTTCTCCCACAGGGACTCACACACCCCGCGGCCGCAAAGGTGCACCCACAGCGCAGCAGGTGTCGTAAAAGTCGTAAAAGACGTCCTTCCTTTTCCGGCACACGCACGCGCCGCCATGTGCGCATCCCTCAGTAGGGTCTACATCGCGAAGAAATTCTGCGTTCCCCATTTTTCTTTATTTGGCAGGCAGGGAGAGAACAAGATCTTCCATCAGCTGCTTCAGTCCCTCAAATGGCCACGCCAGCTCGGACCGGGCCAGGCCGGAGCCAGGAGCTAGGAGCCCCATCCGGGTCTCCCGCGTGGGGGGGGGGGCGGCGCCTCGAGTGCTTGAGCCTCCATCCGGGTCTCCCGCGTTGGGGGGCGGTGCCTCGAGTGCTTGAACTTCCATCCGGGTCTCCCGCGTGGGGGCGGCACCTCGAGTGCTCGAGCCTCCATCCGGGTCTCCCGCGTGGGGGGCGGCACCTCGAGTGCTCGAGCCTCCATCCGGGTCTCCCGCGTGGGGGCGGCACCTCGAGTGCTCGAGCCTCCATCCGGGTCTCCCGCGTGAGGGGCGGCGCCTCGAGTGCTCGAGCCTCCATCCGGGTCTCCCGCGTGGGGGCGGCGCCTCGAGTGCTCGAGCCTCCATCGTGGAGGTTTCCAGAAAGCGCAGCGCGCACACCCTGAGGCGGACACGCGGGGTTTGCGCAATGCCGCTCGGCGCGCCGCATTTTTTAAATAGTGGGTATTTTATGAAAATAGGCTTCTGTGTTAGCTCCGGAGGCTTCACGCGTTAGTATTGAGTCATGTTTAAGAGGCGTTAGTAAACAAAGGGCTTCAAGTTTCCACTTCGACTTTCTCGTGGGGCGAATCTCGGTGGAGGTGCCCACAGACGTAATAGCCTTTTGGAGACCAGTAATTTCTGCGGGTGAAAGGCTGTTTGCTCTTACGTGAGACCTGGTCTTGGTCTTTACTGTTTGTTTTTTTCCTGTAGGTCACAGGGAAAGCGGAAATACTGATTTTTTAAAAAAGAATAATTTATTTGGAAAAGAGAGGGAGAGGCAGGGTGGTCTTCCGTCTGTTGGGTCGCTCCCCGACGGCCGGGGGCCTGGGACACCCCCTGCGTCTCCCCTGTGGGGGGCCTGGACCCCAGAGCTCGGGTGTCTTCAGGGCTTTCCCGGGTGCGTTAGCAGGGAGCTGGATCTCGCGTGCACGAGAACCAGAAAAGACAGAGAACGTCTCAGTGTCGGTGACATGAAAGTGATTTTGACTTCATGGACACCCCCAGAAGGATCTCAGGGACTCCCGGGGCGGGGCCCAAAACCATATTTGAGAGCCACCGATGTACAGCGACAGGTGTGCAACCAACGACCGTCCAAAGAGAACAGAGGTTCTGGCCAGCGTTGTGGTGCATGGAGTTGAGTGGCCACCTGTGACAAGAGCATCCCATATCGGAGCGCCAGTTCAGGTCCCGGCTGTGCCCCTTCAGGTCCGGTCAGATAAATAAATAAATCTCTCCTTTTTTAAAAAAAATCATTTATTTATAAAGTCATAGTTGGAGAGGCAGAGAGAGAGGTCTTCCATCCACTGGTTCACTTCCCAGATGGCCACACTGGCCAGGGCTGGGCCAGGCGGAAGCCAGGAGCCAGGAGCTTCATCACAGTCTCCCCTGTGGGTGCAGGAGCCCAAGGACTTGGCCTATCTTCCACTGCTTTTCCCAGGCCATTAGTAGGGAGCTGGCTCTGAAGTGGAACAGCCGGGACTCGAACCAGTGTCCAGATGGGATGCTGGTGTTGCAGGCGGTGGTTATACCTGCTTCGCCATAATGCTGGCCCTGAAGTAAATACTTAAAACAAAAAAATTGTATCAAAGAAGTGGCAGCAAAGAAGGATGTACTTTTCTCTAAAGGGAGGAGAGAACTTCCACTTTGCTTATGGCTTTGTCTAAATACTGACGGAGTTTGTGGATTCAGAAAGCTTCCATAGCCTTGGCAGCTCCTGTCAAGAGCCTTGGGTGGTCACTGACGTCATACATAAGAGTGCTAGTTGTTAAATCAACAGCAGGAGTCACTGTGCACTAACTCCCCATGCAGGACCTGTGTCCTCAATGAGTTGTATTATGAGAGTTAACTGTGATACTTGTTCTCAAACAGTGTGTGTGTGTGTGTGCAAATTGTTGAAATCTTTATAGAGTTGGTCTTCTGTGTATAAAGTTAATTGAAAATGAATCTTAATGGAGAATGGGACTGGGAAGGGGAGAGGGAGGAAGAGGAGGGGTGGGAGTGTGGGTGGGAGGGCAGGTATGGTGGGAAGAATATATCCCTCAAGTTGTACTTATGAAATTTGTATTCCTTAAAAATTAATCAATTAATTTTATCATAAGTTTGGTGACCAAGCCAATGGTGACCCAAGCAGATAAACAGTCTTGAATTATTTACTGCCTGTGAATGGGTGTTCCGAAGTGGTGGAATTCTTCATGCATTCCATGACAGAAAATTCTATCATTGCTACTGTGAAGACGCTGGCTTGGCCCCCAACTGCAGGCCTTAGACAAGCAGGGGCGAGTTTTTCACAGGTGCAAGCACAGCGCGTTTGGTTACAGAGACAAGGTATGCTGGAAAGAAGACTGGTACTTAAGGTGGTTTTTTTTTTTTTTTTTTTTTTTTTGTATTGATTTATTTCAAAGGTGGAGTTACAGGAGGCAGAGGCAATGAGAGAGAGAAGTCTTCCATTCGCTGGTTCACTCCCCAAATGCCTACAATGCCCAGGGCTGTGCCAGGCCGCAGCTAAGAGCCTGGAACTCCATCCAGGTCTGCCACATGGGTGGCAGTTGGCCCATTCCCCGCTGCCTTCCCAGGGACGTTAGCAGGGAGCTTGAACACAAGCAGAGTGTCAAGGACTCTGAAATGGGATGTTGTCCTCGGAAGTAGCAGCATAACCCATTACCCACAATGCCTACTGGCACTGTGGCGTAGCAGGTAAAGCCGCCGCCTGCAGTGCCAGCATCCCATATGGCCGACAGTTTGAGTCCCGGCTGCTCCACTTTTGATCCAGCTCCCTTCTAATGTGCCTGGGAAAGCAGCAGAGATGGCCGCGTGGGGGACCCAGATGGAGTTCCAGGCTCCTGACTTCCCCCTGGCACTGTCCCCACCTTTGTGGCCTCGTAGGGAGTGAACCAGTGAATGGAAGATCTCGCTTTCCATAAAATAATCAATCTTTTAAAGAAGAAGAAGGCCATTTCTAGGGCAGGTTGTGGGGAAATTAGGCACATGTGGCAATTCAAAGATGGCGCCCAAAGGAAGTAAGGTGGGCGGTGCCCAAAGTCGTTTGCTACCAAAGCTGATTGGCTGCACAGCATCAGGGAGGTGACAACTGATGATGAGTGCACAGACATATGGCTGGTCCTGTAAAAAGTCACCCTGTAAAATGACCTTTTAAGTAATTGGTTGGTCCTTAATCCCTGCCCCAGTAATCACGTGGTCTTGTGCTTTAAAAGGCTTTGCCATGTGCCAATAAACGGAGTTCTTGCTTGCGTGACTTGACTCCCCGCTGTGTCTGACTGTCTCCGGGATCAGGAGGCTGGGGAACGGGCGAGCGGCGCACTTACCTTTCTTCGGACCCAGTCCATCCTCGTTCGGGTGGACTAAGACCCTGCAGCAGGTGTTTGGTGCAGAGGCTGAGACACCACTTGGGACACCCGCACTCTGGTCCGAGTGCCTGGGTTTGCGTCCTGGTTCCAGTTCTGAATCCAGCTTCCTGCTAACGTGCGCTCTGGGCAGCAATGATGGCTCAAGCACTTGGGTTCCTGCTGCACCCACGTGGCGGAACTGGATGGCGTTCCGGGCTCCTTGCTTCGGCCTGGCCCAGCCCTGGCTGTTGCGAGTATTTGATGAGTGAACCAGGGAATGGAAGATCCATCTCTGTCTCTCTGCACTTCAAATAAAATGAAAGTAAAATATTTGTTAGGCAAAGGATAGATAAGGAGCCGAGGATTGCATAAGGAGCTCCAGATGTCTAAGACGAACAGTGCCTATGTGTGCATCTTGCAAGTCAGACGGACCTGGTGGGTGAGATGGATAGAGCCCCCACTCTCTCTGACAGCTCTCAGTAGGGTTTCTGTTGAATGCTTTGCAGGCTTTTAGGGCAGTTCTGCCCACACCTGGGATCGTGAAAGTGTTGGATGCCAGCCCTGCTGCCCTCTCCCCATGCGGGGGCTGATCAGCCTATTAGAAAACTCTGAAAGACCTCAAATTCCAGAACACATCTGGCCCCCAGGGTTTGGGATAAGGGATGATGTTCCCTCTGCAGTCAGCGTGCCCTCGGCTACTCTAGTTCACTAAAAACAGTAATCAGACCCCAAATTGCTTGTGACCCAGGCGTTGAGGTCACACCCCACAGATGACTGTTGGGCACTCATGCTTTGGAACAATCTGGAACAGCTGTTCCGCCCCAGACAAGGTCACTCCCCTGCCCCTGGAGAGCTCAGCAGCTTTAAATCCTGGTTTGCGATTATTTCACACGCGGCTTCCAGGAAGGCAGGGAGCAGGTCTGACCCCAGGCCTGGTGAATCACACAGTAGGTGCTTAACAAGTGAGTGAACACGTGAGCAAGGAGCCAGCCGGAGTCAGAGTTGGGGCTGTAACCCCGCCCAGGCCGATCCCTAGGGCTGTTTTTCCCATGTCATCCGCAAAGATGCAGACAGCGGACCCTGGGTCCTGGCTGACCTCCACGGCCGGCCGGCCACCGCAGCGTCCTGGAGACCTGCGTAACCCGGGAGTCCGGGCTGGATGAACCAGGACTACATTTCCCACAAGTCTCCGCGCTGGAGCCACACCCCCTCCGTGAGCCTCCGCTTCCGCCAGGTTCCTTGCCCTTCAGCCTTGGGGGCAGCCCATTGCAAATTTCCTCACCACCACCCCCACTCCCGACCGCAGTCCCAGTCCCTGCGCCTTGCAGCCAGGGCCGAGCACCCCCTCCTTCCCGCAAGGAGCCTGCCTCAGTTTCTCTACTGAGACTCTCCTCCCCCGCCCCCCCCCCCCACGGGGTGGGCTGTGCGCTGCGGGGTCTGTGGACCGCGCGTCTCGGTGGATAAGCCTTGGGTCCCTGCCGGAGGTGGGGGCGCCGGTGAGCCGCGCTGGGGAGGGGGCGTCTGCGTGCGCAGCGTCCCGCCCGGCCTCCCCTCGGCGACCACGCAGAAATCCGCGCCCAGGGTGGGAGTCCGCGCTTCCGGGTGTGTGTGTGTGTGTGTGTCTGTGTGTGTGTCCTGGTGCGCTGTGTGTCGGTGCCGCTGACGCCTCGGGCTCCTGTGGCAGCCCCGCCACTTCCCGCCCGAGCGCCTGTGCCTCAGTTTCCTCGTCTGTCCGTGGGCGTGACGCGAGCGCCTGGCTCAGAGGCTGGAGAGGTGACCGAGCGCCGGAGCGGATACTCGTGGGAATAAACAAATGAAAAAAACAAAAACAAAAACAAAAAAACCTGTGCTCCTGTTATCTTTTGTTGTGAGGAGGCCGGGGCGAAGTCTGTGCGAGTGCGCAGGGGACGTGGGTGTTCCTGGTGCGTGCGTGTCTCCGTGCGTGTGCTGTGGCTCGTCTTCGCACTGGGTCCCTGTGCCCGCCTTTGGGAGGGCTGCGCTCGGGTAGCGAGTCTTGGCGACCTTGTGTGGAATGTTTGCGCGTGATGCGTGCCTGTGCGGACTGGCGTGTCGGCTGTGGGTGCGTGTGCTTGCATGTGCTTGGCGTGGCTCTGTGTGTGGGCTGTGCGCGCCCGTGTGCACCTGCGTCCGGATGCGTCCGTGGGGTGCCCCTGGCTGCTGTGGGGGCCACCACATGCCTGAGACGTGTGCGTCTGTGATGCTGTGTCTCGGGGGAGGAGAGGTGTCCTTGGTGGCCCGTTTGTCTGCACAGCGCGTGTCCCTGTGGTAGCCGCGTGGATCTTTGTCTGTGGCCCGTGTGGGGGCTTTGTGGCGCTGAGGCTCCTGCGTGGCCGGATGCGTCTGTACCAGGGGCTGGCTGCCTGCGTGTCTGTGTGTGCGTGTGTGTTCCCGGGCCGCTCTCCCCGCGTCTTTGTGTGTGACGTGTACGTGTCCCCGTCTGCTGATAGCTGTCCACCTTTGTATGTGATGTGCTCGTCTGGGAGGGTCTCTGCGACGTGTGTCAGCTGTGTGGGGGCTGCGTGTGCCTGACATGTGCGTCTTCGTGTGGAGCACACGTGTCTGTGGCCGTGGCATGCCACAGCAGGGTCCCGGTCGGGCACTTCGGGCCCTGGGAGCCCCCCCCCCCACCGCCACCAGGGGTCTGCTGGTCCCCGTCTGTCCTTCCCCCTCCCCTTCCCTCCCTCCTGGCCGCCCGAGCTACCCGGAGCCAGTTGCCATGACGACGCTCCATCCTCCCTCCTCCCACCTTCCTCTGACAGGCTCTCTGATCCCCCAATCCCGGCTGCCCTCGGGGGCGGGGCCCTCATCCTCGCCCCCCCCAATCCTACCCTCTCCCCCCCACCCCAGCAACCCCGGCTCCCCAGCTCCTCTCCTCCGTCCGCCTCTCCATCCCTTCATCTGTCTGTCCCTTCGAAGAGGGGGAGGGGGGTACCTGAGCCAGTAAGCAGCCCCTCCCTCCCCCTGTCCTGCGTCTCCTGCCCCTTTCCTGGGCCGGGGGGAGGCCAGGGTCGCGCGGGTCCCCATGGCTGGGGGCTGAGGGCCCGCCCCCCCCTCCTCCCCAGCCGCCACCACCTCCACCTCCCGGCCATCCTCGACAAGATGCCTGCGCCCGGCGCCCTCCTCCTGCTCGCGGCCGTCTGCGCCTCCGGCTGCCTGGCGTCCCCGGCCCAGCCCGGTGAGTCTGTCGGGCCACGGCCTCGCCGCCCGCCGGGGTCCTCCGCGGCCCCCGCTCGGTCACCTGTGCGCGCCTCCCGCGGTCTGCGCCGGCCGGGCCTGCGGGAGGGCGGCCGCGCAGGCCGGGGAGGGGTCCGTGGGGCCTCCCGCGTGTTCGCGTGCCCGCGTGTGCTGTCCGCGGTGCGCAGCAGTCGGGAAAGACGGGGCCGCAGCCGGAATTGGGGGCACAGGAGGGAAGGCTGGCCCGAGGGGCACACGGCGCGGGAGGCTGTTGCGGGCTCGGGGCGCTGGAGGTGGGGACCTGTGTGTGCGCCAGGCGACCCTGTAAGAGACAGGTGTCAGCCCCCTCCGGGGTCCTCCAGCGTGGGCCAAGATCTCCCAGCCTGCAGCCGGGGCCCATCCTCTGCCGCGAACAGGGGGTAACAAGGCTGTCCGTGGGAGCGTATTTTAAATTCTGAGAGCTCCAGGCCTCACTTTCACTCCTGCTTCCCTCAGTTCTCGCTGGAATCCGTCCCATCCCGGGGGTAAGGGAATGGGGTAGGGTGGACCCAGTTTGGGGCGAGAGGGAAGACCCCACCCCCAACCCAACCACCTGGGAAGGCCCCAAACTACGACTCCCACAATACCCCGGGCCACTCGGCTCCTCTGCCAAGGGGCTCCTGGTTGCAGAGCATCATGGGATTTGTAGTCCGGGATGGGAGGGGCCTGGCGTGCAGGAGCCGGGGGCTTGAAGTCGCGACTCCAGCCCAGCCCTGTGTCCACAGATGGATTCGCCATGGGTCGGGCCCCTCTGGCACCTCCCTACGCCGTGGTCCTCATTTCCTGCTCCGGCCTGCTGGCCTTCATCTTCCTCCTCCTCACCTGTCTGTGCTGCAAACGGGGGGATGTTGGTTTCAAGGTGAGGTGCCCTGGGGGCTTCCATGCGGGAGGAAGACGCTGGCAAGTCCAGATGGGTGGGGTGGGGTGGGGGCAGTGAGCCTGAGACCCCCTCTGGAGGCTTGGACTCCAGGAATAGGGTGCAGACGCGGCCGGGTTGGGGGCCGGCCCCAGAGGCCGGTGGCGCTCCCCCAGCCTGTGCCTCCTCGCCCCTCGCCCTCCGTGCCCAGGAGTTCGAGAACCCGGAAGGCGAGGACTGCTCCGGGGAGTACACTCCCCCGGCCGAGGAGACTTCCTCCTCTCAGTCGTTGCCTGATGTCTACATCCTCCCGCTGGCCGAGGTCTCCCTGCCAATGCCTGCGCCGCAGCCTTCACACTCAGGTACCGCCCTGCACCCGGCCCAGGACCCCTGGGCCCCAGGGAAGGCCCGGCCAATAGCGAGGGGGGCAGAGGTGATCTTTGAGGAGGCCATTGCTTGAGGCAAACCCAGATTTGGGGACCCGTGTGTGGTTGTGTTGGGGGGGCGACTGATAGAGAGAGGAGCCTAGATCTCATCCTTACAGGCAGCCAATGGGAGGCGGGAGTCAGGTCACAGGATCCCGGGCCCCCACAGGGAGGGACTGATTGGGTGCTGAAACTGTGTGGGCAGCCAATGAGGAGGCTGAGCTCACCGGGGACGATTGGAGGCAGCCAATGGAAAGCGAGTGGTGTCCCCACTGAGTTGGGGGTGGGGTTGGAGGCTCAAGGGCCTCCCCCTGTCCCTCTCACCCCAGACATGACCACCCCTCTGGGCTTGAGCCGCCAGCACCTCAGCTACCTGCAAGAGATTGGCAGCGGCTGGTTTGGGAAGGTGAGTGGGGCAGGGGTGGGGGTGGGGGTGCTTGCTCCTGCTGTGCTCCTGTCCTGTGTCCACACCCCTGCTCTCTCCTCATCCGGCCCTCACGGCCTCCCTGCCCCCCCACCGCCATCCCCCCACATCTGTCGGTCAGCGCCTCCCTCCTCACTCCATTGACCACTCCGCCTGGCCACCCGGCTCTCCACGGGTCCGTCCGTCTGTCCATCCTTCCATCCGTCCCTGCGTCCATCGGACTCTGGGCCTGTGAGTCTCTCATCTCATGTCTGGTGGGGTACAAGGGTGGGGGGAGATGGAGAGCCAGAAAGGAGGGGGCGGGGAGCTGGGAGCCGTGGGGGGAGGAGGACAGGGTGGGGGAGGGCACTCGCTGACTCCTGGGTGCCCCTTGGCCAGGTGATCCTGGGAGAGATTTTCTCCGACTACACCCCAGCCCAGGTGGTGGTGAAAGAGCTCCGAGCCAGCGCGGGGCCACTGGAGCAACGCAAGTTCATCTCGGAAGCACAGCCATACAGGTACAGCGGGATAGGAGTGAGCGGGACAGGGGTGAGCGGGACAGGTGTCAGTGGGACAGGGGTGAGCGGGACAGGGGTGAGCGGGACAGGGGTGAGCTGGGCAGGTGTGGCGGGACAGGCATCGGGGCTCCTCCATAAGCGTGGGCTCTGGGTCCTGAACACCTGGGGCGTGCGCCTCCTAGAGGCAATATCTGGAATGGAAGGCGTACGGTATGAGGTCAAACTGGGTTCAGATCCCCCAGGTCATTCTTCCTGGCTGGGGGGTGCCAGCTGCAGGTGCCCTCCTGGGGCCTGAGCTGGGGGTGCACAGGGCGCGTCTCCCTCGGGAGCCGGAGCCCAGGATGCCTGAGAGGGCCCCTTCCTCAGGCCCCTGCTTGTGGGTGGGGGAGGGCAGAAGCCGGATCACGCTCCAGGGCCTTGAGCTGGACCCCACGCTCCCCAAGCTGTTCCCGTCCCCTTTCCACTGGACTCTGTGAGGCTGGGGAAGGCAGGACCGGTCCCTGCCCTGCCTGCTCTCCCTGAACCCCACGGGCTCCTGGGTGAGGTCTGCCAGGTAAATGCCTCGTGTGTGTGTGTGTGTGTGTGCACGCAGAGACCCCCCCCCCCCAGCACACATGGGACGTTGGCGCTCCCTCACTCTAACACCTGCTGTGGCTGCTGCTTGCCCACAGGCCCTCACCGTGCAGTGAGTGCAACTCACGGTGCAGTCTCACCGTGTCCCCTCCCAGATTCCCCCACAGCAACCTCAGCATGACAACTTGTCTTGCTCCCCCTCCCCCTCTCTGACCCCTCCTCAGGTCTCAGGCAGGCCCTGGGCCCCTGCACCTCCCACGCTCTTTGAGGGCCACAGGTGTGACTTTGTTGTGAGGCAGCCATTGGCCATGTAGGCAGAAGGAGAGTTGAGCCAATGGAAACTCATTTCCTCCCGCACACAGGCCACATCGAAGGGCTCGGTAGCCACGGGTGGCTCCTGTGCTGTTGGGCTCATCATGGCCCGAGCTCGCCGTGGCCACAGGGTGGCGGACATGTGTCCCTGGCTGTATGACCATTGGCAAGTCACTTCACCTCTGCCTCAGTTTCCTTCTGGGTCAGCTGGGGATCACCCACTCGCCAGGAGGGTGTTGGGAGGCTGTGCAGTGGTAGACAGGCGTGGGACAGGGGGTGGCTGTGCAGTGGTAGACAGGCGTGGGACAGGGGGTGGCTGTGCAGTGGTAGACAGAGGCGTGGGACAGGGGGTGGCTGTGCAGTGGTAGACAGGTGTGGGACGGGGGGTGGCTGTGCAGTGGTAGACACAGGCGTGGGACAGGGGGTGGCTGTGCAGTGGTAGACACAGGCGTGGGACAGGGGGTGGCTGTGCAGTGGTAGACACAGGCGTGGGACAGGGGGTGGCTGTGCAGTGGTAGACACAGGCGTGGACAGGGGGTGGCTGTGCAGTGGTAGACAGAGGCGTGGGATGGGGGGTGGCTGTGCAGTGGTAGACACAGGCGTGGGACAGGGGGTGGCTGTGCAGTGGTAGACAGGCGTGGGACAGGGGGTGGCTGTGCAGTGGTAGACACAGGCGTGGGACGGGGGTGGCTGTGCAGTGGTAGACAGAGGCGTGGGACAGGGGTGGCTGTGCAGTGGTAGACAGGCGTGGGACAGGGGGTGGCTGTGCAGTGGTAGACAGAGGCGTGGGACGGGGGGTGGCTGTGCAGTGGTAGACACAGGTGTGGGATGGGGGGTGGCTGTGCAGTGGTAGACACAGGCGTGGGACAGGGGGTGGCTGTGCAGTGGTAGACACAGGCGTGGGACGGGGGTGGCTGTGTAGTGGTAGACAGGCATGGGACAGGGGGTGGCTGTGCAGTGGTAGACACAGGCGTGGGACAGGGGGTGGCTGTGCAGTGGTAGACACAGGCGTGGGACGGGGGTGGCTGTGTAGTGGTAGACAGGCATGGGACAGGGGGTGGCTGTGCAGTGGTAGACAGAGGCGTGGGACGGGGGTGGCTGTGCAGTGGTAGACACAGGTGTGGGACAGGGGGTGGCTGTGCAGTGGTAGACAGAGGCGGTGGGACGGGGGTGGCTGTGCAGTGGTAGACACAGGCGTGGGACAGGGGGTGGCTGTGCAGTGGTAGACAGAGGCGTGGGATGGGGGTGGCTGTGCAGTGGTAGACACAGGCGTGGGACAGGGGGTGGCTGTGCAGTGGTAGACACAGGCGTGGGACAGGGGGTGGCTGTGCAGTGGTAGACAGAGGTGTGGGATGGGGGTGGCTGTGCAGTGGTAGACACAGGCGTGGGACGGGGGTGGCTGTGCAGTGGTAGACAGAGGCGTGGGACGGGGGTGGCTGTGCAGTGGTAGACACAGGCGTGGGACAGGGGGTGGCTGTGCAGTGGTAGACAGAGGCGTGGGACGGGGGTGGCTGTGCAGTGGTAGACACAGGTGTGGGACAGGGGGTGGCTGTGCAGTGGTAGACACAGGTGTGGGACAGGGGGTGGCTGTGCAGTGGCCTTGAGCTCCTTGTGCCCCTGCCAGCCGCAGTGTCCTGCACAGGATGGGGGGCAGCTTTGTTGCACCTGTCCTGCGGGGGTGGGGGAGGCCACAGGATAAGCAGAGGGGGCCTGGGTACTTCCTGTTCCCCTGCCCCTGGCCTGCGTCTCCCGCAGAGCGCTGAGTCCAGCCAACAGAAACAGCTAGACCCACACCCCCTCAGTGGTCATCTTGCAAGAACTCACCACACCTTGGGGGAGACACATAAATAAATGAAGAAATATATTATAAAGTCTTTGTTTATTTGAGAGGCAGAGAGAGGGGAAGAGAGAGAGAGAGAGAAAGGGAGAGAGGGAGAGAGAGGGAGAGAAGGAGGGGGGGAGAGAGAGAGGGAGGGAGGCTCCCACCCATTGACTCGCCCTCCAGGAGCCTACAGAGGTGAAGCTGGGAGCCCGGGATCCGATCCAGGCCTCCCCTGTTGGCTGGGACGCAGTTACCTGAGCCATCCTGCTGCCTCCCAGGGGCTGCATTAGCAGGAGCCCAGGGCCAGGGCTGGGTATCGAACCCAGGCCCTCTGGGATGGGAAGCGGTGTCTCGAAGCAGCATCTTAACCTCCAGGCCAAACATCTGCCCTGAGAGAGAAATAGGAGAAAACCAGACGAGAGTGCCAACAGGGTGAGGCAGTTTGTCACAGAGACAGGGGCCACGCTGGACCACGGGTGAGCCCGGGTGGACCCACGGGAATCGGCCACGCAGAGCCGTGTGGGAAGCACGTTCCAGGCAGAGGGGTCAGCAGGTGCAAAGGCTGGGAGGCGGGAATGCACGGAGAGAGCCATCACTCCGTACACCCTGGACCAGAAGTGGCAGAGATACTGCCTGCCGGCTCCTCTCCGATCTCATTTCCACAAGCACAGGAGGGAACTGCGATGACCATCCCCGTTGTACAGATGGGGAAACTGAGGCAGGGAGCGAGGTGGAGTGACTCACCTGCCAGTGCACACCTGGGAAGGCTGGAGTGGGGAGAGAGCCCCAGACCTGACTCCCATGCAGGGGTGGGGGACTCTGGGGAGGGGAGGGCATGGAAAGGTGGCCCTGGGGAAAGCCACACTGGGCCAGCCCATGGGCTAGGGCAGACCAGAGGTCTTCCTGGGGCAGCGGGGAGCCACAGAGGGCTGTGGACGGGCAGACGGCAGGGCCAGGCAGAGTGAGGGGAGAGTGGAGGCCAGGAGGCGCTGACGGGTGAGGGTGTGTCCGCCCGACCCTGACGGCAGGCCAGTCCTGGATGACTCTCGGGGAAGGGCTGGGGTGGGGGTGAGCTGAGACGAGGCAGGGGTGGGGTGGCAGGGGCCGCTCCCCTGACCCAGCCCCCGCCCCCAGGAGCCTGCAGCACCCCAACGTCCTGCAGTGCCTGGGCCTGTGTGTGGAGACGCTGCCCTTCCTGCTGATCATGGAGTTCTGCCAACTGGTGAGGGTCCTGGGCGCGGGGCTCGGCGGGGGGCTGGGCCAGGCTGCTCGCCACGCAGACACTCCTGCCTGGCAAGCCGGGGGCTTCTGCGGCTACCAGCCTCCCAGCAGCCGGGGAGACCAGCGGCGCCAGGAGCTGACCCGGCTCTTCCTCCCTCCCAGGGGGACCTGAAGCGGTACCTCCGGGCTCAGCGGCCCCCTGAGGGCCTGTCCCCCGAGCTGCCCCCTCGGGACCTGCGCACCCTGCAGAGGATGGGCCTGGAGATTGCCCGGGGGCTGGCGCACCTGCACTCGCACAACTACGTGCACAGGTGGGCGGGGCTCTGTGGGGAGGGGCCTGGGGGCGAGGGGTGGCTCTCTGGGAAGAGGGGGGGAGCAGAGGCGGGCCAGGGAGGAAGAAGAAAAGAATCCCAAGAGAGCCTGGAAAGGGGTGGGAGGAGCCAGGGGCCGTTGGGAGGAAAGGCCAGAATTGTAGAGAGGAGAGGGGGCGTCACCTGAGTTGGAAGAGGCGGTAGCAGCTGCAGGGGCCAGGGAAGCCATGAGGACTTGGGTCTGGGCTGGGGGAGGCGTCGCCCCTGCGCTCACCTGCACCCCCCACCCTAGCGATCTGGCCCTGCGCAACTGCCTGCTGACCTCTGACCTCACTGTGCGCATCGGAGACTACGGGCTCGCCCACAGCAACTACAAGGTGGGGGCTGCCCTCCGGAGGGGCGGGGGGCCGCGGGGGTGGCCTGAGCCGCCTGACCCCGCCGGCCCGCCCCCAGGAGGACTATTACCTGACGCCGGAGCGCCTATGGATCCCGTTGCGCTGGGCGGCGCCCGAGCTCCTCGGGGAGCTGCACGGCACCTTCATGGTGGTGGACCAGAGCCGCGAGAGCAACATCTGGTGAGGCCCTGCGGTCTGCGGGCGGGGACACTGAGGCTCCCAACCCCCAGCGGGACAGCCCCGGGCTCTGACCTCCCCGCGCCACCCCTGTGCCGCCCGCAGGTCCCTGGGGGTGACCCTGTGGGAGCTGTTTGAGTTCGGGGCGCAGCCCTATCGCCACCTGTCGGACGAGGAGGTCCTGGCCTTCGTGGTCCGCCAGCAGCACGTCAAGCTGGCCCGGCCGAGGCTCAAGCTGCCCTACGCCGACTACTGGTGAGAGCCGGGCACTGCGGGGACCCAAGACCTGCCGGCTCCCTTCCTGGGGGCCCGGCTCCCCCCCCACCTCTGCCTGCACCTGCGACTTGGAGGGAGGAAAACTGAGGCAGGGAGGGGCACGGCTGGGACTTGAAGCGGTTTTCCCCCAGCAGACCCCTGCTGCTTCCACCTCTAATCCCACAGCGCAGAGCCCAGACAGGGCTCCTCACGCCTGCCAGCCTCCCCCTGCCCCACGCCCACCCCCAGCCTTCTACCCTGCACACTCTCACCCCCCCCCCCCAGGTATGACATCCTGCAGTCCTGCTGGCGGCCGCCCGCCCAGCGCCCCTCGGCCTCTGACCTCCAGTTGCAGCTCACCTACCTGCTCTCGGAGAGGCCCCCCCGGCCGCCCCCGCCGCCACCCCCCGCCCCGAGACGGCCCCTTCCCCTGGCCCTGGCCCCATCGCACAGCGCGCCGCGCCCCGGGACCCTCTCGTCCCCGTTCCCGCTTCTGGATGGCTTCCCCGGGGCTGACCCCGACGACGTGCTCACGGTCACGGAGAGCAGCCGCGGCCTGAACCTCGAGTGCCTATGGGAGAAGGCCCGGCGGGGGGCGGGCCGGGGCGGGGCGGCGCCCCCCTGGCAGCCCGCGTCCGCGCCACCGGCCCCCCACGCCAACCCTTCCAACCCCTTCTACGAGGCGCTGTCCACACCCAGCGTGCTGCCCGTCATCAGCGCCCGCAGCCCCTCAGTGAGCAGCGAGTACTACATCCGCCTGGAGGAGCACGGCTCCCCCCCGGAGCCCCTCTTCCCCAACGACTGGGACCCTCTGGACCCAGGCGTGCCTGCCCCCCAGGCCCCGCAGGCCCCTTCCGAGGTCCCCCAGCTAGTGTCCGAGACCTGGGCCTCCCCCCTCTTCCCGGCGCCTCGGCCCTTCCCGGCCCAGTCCTCGGCATCAGGCAGCTTCCTGCTGAGCGGCTGGGACCCCGAGGGCCGGGGTGCGGGGGAGACGCTGGCCGGAGACCCTGCCGAGGTGCTGGGGGAGCGGGGGACCGCCCCTTGGGCCGAGGAGGAGGAGGAGGAAGAAGAGGGCAGCTCTCCGGGGGAGGACAGCAGCAGCCTTGGGGGTGGCCCCAGCCGCCGGGGCCCCCTGCCCTGCCCCCTGTGCAGCCGCGAGGGGGCCTGCTCCTGCCTGCCGCTGGAGAGGGGAGATGCTGTGGCCGGCTGGGGGGGGCACCCTGCCCTTGGCTGTCCCCACCCCCCCGAGGACGACTCGTCTCTGCGGGCAGAACGGGGTTCCCTGGCCGACCT